AATCAAGGTTGCAGCCGCGGTCCTCAACCCCAAAACGCGATTTGCCGCCGGTTTTTGACAAATTTCAGGTCGGGAAAGCTTCAACTAGCTCTGATACCACCTGAAGGACCGAATTCCACAGCCAAGCAATCCAAAAACCGGGCTCAGTTTACTCAAAACGCCGACACCATTCTTGAGACAACTCCAATATCACCTTGTGCCACCAAGGTCCGGTTGCTATGGATATAGGAAGGAGAAGGCCAAGAAAATACCCACAATATGTCAACCACAAAGGTCACAGAGAGGGAGGAGGGAACGGCCGAGAGGGAGAGACTCACAAAGAGGGGATTTCACTCTAAAATGGAGGCCGAGAGATGAGAGGAATATATGCCAAGGGTAGTGTCCAAACAAGGTAAGTTACAATTAGGGCTAAGTGGTGGATCGAGCCTCGACTCAAATAATTGGGCCTCAACAATAATAACATAGCCTTCCAAGGAATGGTGCGGGAACCATGAGCAACACTATAAAATAGGTTACTTCGAACGGTCCATAACAAAGTGGATTGTGTTGTCTCGTTAATTGTGTCGACGTGCTAATCAATCATTAGGCCGAGGCCGACAGATAATAAACAACCGAGGTTACATCATCGCCCGGAGAGGTCGTTTGACAACAAAATTGCCTAACAAAGATGTATATTATAAATAAAGTTTCTGAAGTAGAATGTCGAGCAAGATCAATATTATTATATATTTTGACTTGTAAACTCCAACTTGATCTTGGGAGATATTGCAATTTGACTTCATTAAATAAAAGAACACGCGAACAAAAGTGTAGTCTATACTTGAACAACCGAATTTCATTGTCGATTTTGTCTCCAAATTCAATGTAAAAATGGTATTTTTAATTTTCAAGTGTCTTCAATTTACTTCTGAAAAATAATGACAAAATACAACTTCATACAGAGGAAAAATCAAGATTTTATATTTAGAAATTTATTTATTTATTCATTTTTTTTCCCCTAAAAGGCCTTCTTGAACCCTTGGCCGCGACGTTAAAGAGAGGTTCATTTGACAAAAAATTTCCACGGTAACTATTTAATAATTAAGGTTAGGCTCGTGTGATATATTGACATTTTGCAAGAACTAACATCTTTAAGATTTATTTATGTACAAAACATTTTTTATAACATAGATAGTAATGTTTTCGTTGCAATCGAAATTCACAAGGTAAATTTAAGCCAATCTTCGCCACTCGAAATTCATCAAAATTAACGAGACAATCAATTATCGCAGCCATTGTTCGAACATGAATTTAATGATTGATTTGCTTGAAGGTGAAAGTCATATATACTGTAGAGAATTTGATAAATTTTATGTAATTTTATTTATAGTTTTGTTATGTAGATTGACCACGTAATTTCAAGAGAAGTTTTTGATCAATTACAATATTGAGAAGTCATTACTTATAATAGATTGGAAAACCTAAAATGAACATAAGCTGAAATAAGGTTGACTTTTGTATTCCAAAAAAAAAAAAAGTTAAAGAGACGACTCTTTCACCTCTACAATAAAAGGAGCTAAGCTTGATAATTATGACTTATCAAATTCACAACTTAAAATTATTTAAAAGCATTGCCAAATAAGAATTTGATTTTAAGACTTATTCAAATAACTTTTTATAAGGTGTTGACATAAAACCTCTATGTTATGTTGTGTGCCATTACCATTTAGACAAGCGTATCACAAGATTAATTTCTCCAAATTCAAGTGAATCTACTCTTATAAGAAGATATTTATTCTATCCAATAATGTCAAAAAGAAATATAATTCCATCGCCAAGTTTTCAAAATTACTTTCTAAAAAAAAAAAAAAAGACGTGAATGGCCTTGAATAAATAAACATAAATATCAAGAGAAAAAAATTTAAAAGTCAAATTCAAAATTAGAATTCAACAATTCTGAGTTGACTTGTGTCCATTGTAGTGAGTTATGTCATCTAACAACGGACACAACATGATCAACGGCTAGTTTTCTCTTTTCTTTCTTTCTAATTACAAATGGCAGAACCGTGAATTCCAATTATTCAGACAATAACTCATTCCATGTTTCGTCGGTTAACGTAGTAGTTTTGGTGGTCAAATGTTGATATGTTTAATCATTATCAGTCACTCCAAAATTTATATATATAAAATATATATAGACTTATACACTATTTTGTATATACAATTTTTCCATCTTAGATTGAGAAAATAGGGAGAGGGTGGTGAGGGAGAGAAAAAAGATTGTTAAATTTTCTTTAGCGGGTCACGAAGGCACCAGCCTTCGAGTCTGCTCTTTACAGGCATTGATCTGAAGGTACATTACATTTACTCCTCCATTTGATCGTCAATAGGGGAAAAAAAACTGAGAAAGATTAATTATCTTTTGGCATATGTGTGTGTGTATATATATATATAAACTGAAAAAGATTAATTATCTTTTGGCATATATATATATATATATATATATATATATGAAGGTATGTAAATGTTTATTTATTCTTATAGGAATCCCTATTAATCAAGCTTCTTGAAGCCGTAAAAGAAATTTGAATTTTTGTGTGATTTATGAGCTACCCATGCTACCCATGTTTTTTAATTTTCAAATTGTGTTATATCTTGAAATGGGTTATAATGAAATTTTGATGTAATGTGGCTTTGATTTTGGGTTTTCCTAGGCTGGTACCAGAATTTGGGAATTGCCCTCTTGATCTCAAGGACTTTTTCTCTCCCCTCTATTTAATTCAATAATTTCCAATAATCTCGAGTTCTCGAGATTAAGAAGGGGAAAAAAGCATACAATTTGGAGGAGAATTTGGGGGGAAAAAAGAAAGGAAAAACTAATAGCTTTGCATTGGTTAGTTTTTAATTATGAGTGCTGTTTCGGGTTTGATCTCAAGACAAGTACTGCCAGCATGCGGTGGTCTTTGTTTCTTTTGCCCTGCAATGCGAGCAAGGTCGAGACAGCCTATTAAAAGGTACAAGAAGTTGATCTCCGGCATATTTACTCGGTCCCAGGTTAGTTCTTGAATCATATGTTAGTTTTATGGATACTCATTACTTGGTTTTGGGGTTAGAATTGTTTCCTTTATATATATATAATGATGTTCAAGATGATTAATATCTGCATTATGATTTTATTAGAGTTCAATTTTTATAAATGATTTTTAACCGGCTTAGGTGATATCTTTCTTTTGGCCATCTCGTTGGAAAAGCTGCTATAGTAAAACCTCTTTATAGTCATAATGCTGGGACCAAACTAATTTTATTACTATGAGGAGGTTATAATTTAACAGAGGTGTAGTTACAAAAATTATTGTTATGACTTAGTTATCCTTAGTGTGGTATAGAGGTAAAGTGTGAACTACATTAATAATTAATTAAGAGCATGTCAAATCCAAGGTATAGACATTGATAAAAGAAATAGACATAATTTCAGAAAATTAGTATACATATCTATGTAGTGCTGGAAATATGCAAATTTATCTTAGACCTTTAACGTAACATGGAATATATTTTTTGACTCAAACAACTTTAGATAAATGTTTTATTTCATCTTTAACTTTTAATGTAACATGGGATATATTTTTTGCAACATACTGATAATTATTACCATGTGGAGGCAATTTCCATAAGGCAGGACGTAATAAAATTTTACAGTATGGCTTTTATTTTTATTTATAACTGGCCAAAGTTAGGATCAAAATTTTTTATGACTACATGGTGGTTATTCTTATATAGAGTATCATCATAGAGAGGTCTTACTGTATTGTTTAAATTTACTTATAAACTTTTGTCGGTAACAAGTTTAGAATTCCATACTAGTTGTCTAGCGAAGAAATTGTGATTGCTTCTCTATCTCTACGTAATTTGGCAGAAGATTACCTTTTTCATATAGCCTATATTTTCTACTCTCTTCTAATGGCTTTAATAAGCTGCGATATAACTCTTTGGGAAAGAAATTTTGAGTTGTCCCCTCATTAAAGAATTTTAATCTCTCAAAAGTTTTCGCGTAACTGGTCAACATTAGGTTGAAGGATATACATTGTGTGGAAATGCATCATATGAATTCTTCATCTAGAGGTATTATGTGAATGAGCATGAATTTCCGAGGTCGTGATGTTATATCACATTTATCAGTTTTCACATATATTTCTTTTTAATTTATAGGATGGAGAACCAAATGATCGGATGATTGGGAAACTATGTGAATATGCTACAAAAAATCCTTTGCGCATTCCTAAGGTACTATTTATTTTATGCAGCAGAATGAAATAATTTGTTTGTTCTGGTCATGCAATATGGTAAATTTATACAGCACCCGCCACTTATTAGCAGCTGCATTCATTTAATCTTTTATCATGATCTAACTCTTCGTAGACTTTGAATATGGATGGGTTAGATGAGATAGTCAAAGTTTCGCTATATTTGCTGAAACCTCCAAATTTAAGATAAGTGCGAAGTGCTAACTAGAGGGATTATTTTCTTTAGATGTCATTTTCTATCATTATCTTTATGACAAATGCCCATTAATGATTCAGTTCGATGAATTTATGATAAATGGTTGGAGATTTCTAAATAGTCACTCACATTTTTTTACAGATATTTCTGGATAGAGAATAATATGAGCTCTAGTTTAGTACCTACCGGCTATGACAAAACTTGACATTAAAGGAGTTTGAGAAACTTCTCTATAGCCTAGATCCCACCCCCAAATGAAAGAGAGAAGGATTTGAAATATACTGGACTAAACAAACCAAAATCTTGGATAAAATTTTAGTCTTTGATTCTGTACAGCTCACAGCTAGGATTTACACCATAATTTCCAGAAAGCTAGCATTGTTTGGATTCTTATATTCTGTTTCTTAGCTAAATGAAATTTGATTGTCTGATTTTTTGCACGTCTTTTCTGCTATGTCAGTTAAATTTGTAGGAAGCATGCATGACTCTTTGACACATTTCACTATCTTCATTCCAAATATGAGCATCCGCGAAGCAAGAAATCCCTTGAAATTGATTAAACTAGTGAAAACGAGCACTATATTTCTTCTTTCAGATGGTCAAATGTGTTTATGTTGTGGATCTCTGGCAAAAGCTAGTTTTTCAATTGTGATATTTCTTGTCTGATGACAGATAACTAGCTCCCTTGAGCAACGGTGTTACAAGGAGTTAAGAAGCAAGAATGTCGAATCAGCAAAAATTGTTATCTACATTTACAGAAAATTGTTAGTTTCTTGCAAGGAGCAAATGTATGTCCATTGTCACTTCTATTTTTATGCTTTTGGTTACACTCAGAAGATATTTTTCATGGAAAGTTTGAGTACTACCTTTTTTTTCCTTGTTGAAAGGTTAATTTGTCCCTATAATATTTTTGAGTTGTAACAATGGAGTAGGGACTATACCTAATTAATAAATACCTAATTAATAAATACCACGAAACAGCCAAATTTTGGGTTTCTAATCATGAAATTCTCCTAGCTTAACAAGATAGAGGAGAACCTGGGGGTAATTGGGTGTCAAACAGCATGATCAGAAAAGAGAAGAAATGCTCAGTAAAACAGCAAGAGGCATAATTATGTTGGCTTATAAATGGAGGCTGAAATATCTCAAAATTTTAGTTCAACTACTGTTGTTATTGTTGGATATTGAAAATCTGCAATAAAAAATCTTTATTAATTTGTGTTCCTGATATTGACCTTGTCCATTGAGTGCCCTGCAGACCAATTACAAGCAATTTTTTGATTGTATTGCGATAGTTGGGATTTACCACATACCCTAAACTCATTCTATGCTTATTTATTTTAGATCGTTGTTTGCAAATAGTCTACTAAGCATTATGCACACCCTGCTGGATCAGACAGACCAGGATGAAATGCTAATTATTGGAAGCCACTCTCTCTTTGACTTCATAAACAATCAGGTTGGTTTTCTCCAGTTAAATACTTTAGGTTAGAGTGCGTGATTTGCTCTTATGATTTCTCTATACTTGTGGCAACATTAGACCTATTCAACT